GGAAATTTAAATTGGGAAATTTTCTTATTTTTTCTATTGATGAGAAATTAAAAAGATATTCAATTGCTGGAATCATTCTGGAGTTACTCCAATGTCATTTAATTAAGTTTTATACTTCATTAAGTTCCTATCAAGGTTTGAGAAAGCTTTTCAAGTTAAATACAATAAACAGAAGACAAAAATGTTGGAAATAATATTAAAGTTTTGTTACAAAGGAGGTAATACTGTTTAAACATTGCTTTTGGATATGATTCAAGTGTACATTGGCTTCATGTCATAGAATATAGGAAGAGAAAAATAAATCCATATTAAAGAAAATAAGGTTTTATTGTTATATAAGAGAAAACCTTTTATGAAAGCTTTATGAAAATATGGAAGGGCCAGGGGTGGTGTTGGCTCATGTCTGTAATCCTAGCTTCTTGTGAGGTGATCATCAGGAGAGACACGGTACAATGCCAGCCAAGGCAGAGTTCAAGGCTACAAATCAACTAAAAATGTTACTCACAGTTGCACATACCTTTTAATTTAGGCACACAGAAAGTGTAAATAAATAGGAAAATCAAACTAGGTCATCCCAGGTATAAATTCAAGTTCTTATTTAGACTCTATTTGAAAATAGTCAAAGCAAATATGGGTTGGCTTGTGGCTCAAATAGAGTGCCTGAGTAGCAAGCAAGAGGCCCCAAGTTCAAACTATTTATTGGTGTGTGTGTGTGTGTGTGTGTGTGTGTGTGTGTGTGTGTGTGTGTGTGTGTGTGTGTGTGTGTGTGTGTGTGTGTAGCAGGAGGTTGGGTGATTTGCTTGAACTCCATTTTCTTAAAATTTATGCAGTAGGAAAAATAGTTAGCCAAACTAATACAGAAATGCCTAGCACAGTTACAGTTTAGGGTCCCAAATTTTATTTCAGGAAATTCTAGTTTATTTGGTCTTGTGTAGAAAGTCTTTTGCAAAAGTCTTCACTGTAGGCTATCTTTGGATCATACTTTCAGATATAGTACTTCAAACAAACAATTTATGATTTTGCTATGAGTCTGTCAAAATTCAGACTCTCTAAAAGACTTTTGGAATATTTCAGTAGTCTAGTATTGCAAAGTAAGGTAATCTAGAAATTTCCTTATGAAAATAATTTGTGCTGCTAAACAGCTAAATATCTAAACAGTAGGTATTAATAGTTGATTTAGTAAATTAGTAGTGTGGTCTTTTATTCTGGAGCCCCATATTCCCATTTCTTTTAAGTATTTTCCTGATGTTCCTTGACCATTTTGCTAGTATTAATGGATTACATAGATAGTGTAAATTATAGAAATCCATTTCAGCCTTTAAACACGATCTTGAGATTAATATTCATTTATTTGTATTGGAATAGACAGGTCCTCTATTTCCAATATTTATTACACTTTTGCAATAACTGACTTTAGCCAGAGGCCCAGATTTCAGAATCCTTTCTGGGAAAGTAATTTTCATTGTTGTCATTGGTAACCAAGTGAATGACTTTGACATACATAGCACTGGCCTTCAATTAGCCAGCCTGAAATAATTAATCAGAAACAACAACTATTTTAGTAACTGATTGAGTTCAGCCCTTACAGGCTATAAACTAGGTTAATTGAAGATATTTCAGCAATGGAGACTTTATAATTTTGTTGGGTTAATGAAAATATTAGAGATTGAGCTTGAATATGTACCCTTGCATTTTTCTGTGATTTAAAAACCACATGGGGAACGTTTTATTTATATTGCCTGGAGTTTATTGGTACAGTTCTCTTTAACATTGTAATGAAAACAACTGAAAATATATTGCAAGTTTATACCTTCTTTTCATTAGATGCTGCTATGTACAGGTACATGCATTCCTGATTTGCCATTCTTTTAGAAGGCATTTATTTTCACAGGGAATGTGACATTTGTAAGGATTAGAAAATTTGTAATGATGTGCCCAGAAATTGGTAAGACTTGTAAAGAAACATTGTGTGCCTGGTTGATAAATTTCCCAAGAAAACTTTAGAACTGAAGCAGAGGTTTAGTTCTCTGTTTGAACATTTGTTTATAATATAACCTTTATTAACTAAGGCCATGAGTGTTAGGTGCTAGGTAAGTTATACACAGGAAAAGTTATATTATTGTACTTTTGATTCAAATTTCCTACTAGCATAAAGTCCGTTTTTTACTGCATATTAAAACACACATAGGTATTATTTTCTATAGCTCATTATTTTGGAAAGAAAAGTGAAGAACCTGAAAAATACTGCTGTTACTGAGATTTCTAAGGCTTACCTCCTGAGAGATATTGAATAGCTTCTATTTGTAGTAAAGATCTAAACTTTCTAAAAATATTTCATTTTGTATCTTAAAAAGTTTAGAATGTGTAGGGAGGGCTGATAGTTAATTCATCTTTAGTACTTTTCTTTCTTGTATTAAAATTTAATTCATAGTGATTATTCTCCAAGTTTATTATTTGGGATAAATGATTGCCTAAAATTTCTATAATTTGCAACACCAGTTTTGCTGTTGTTTATACAAGGAGAAAGTAAGCTAACTAGGTAACTATTCTCATTCTGATCTAGTTGATACAGTTACTGGTCTCCTTGCTACATTCTTCTGGAGGTCCATTGCTTGGGCAAGCTAAGCCAACCCTAGCTGTAAGAGCAGGCTTAATTCATACAAGGGGAACACCATCTTTACCAGCATTATTGTTTCATGTGAAAATTTTCCAGTGACCCAGTATAAAGACTGAGAGCTACCAGAACAGATCCTTTTCCTTCTGCTGGGCCCCTGGCTTCCATTATAACACAAAAAGAAGTACTAAATACCCAACTAAATACTAAATACTGTGGGCTGTAGAAAAAGCTGACTCTGTGTGTGTGTGTGTGTGTGTGTGTGTGTGTGTGTGTTTGAGAAACAGTCAAAGACAGAGATTGATTTAGAATGGACCTTTTGTGGTTTTACTTTAAATATTTATAATGAGCCAAATATCTTCATACATATGACAAAATGTCTGCCTCTGTTTCCCTCTTCGTGAAAGATATTTGCTTTTACCAATGAAATACTTCAAAATGAGTATGTGGTTAAACCTTCTGAAACTGAATGGTTTATTTCTTAAAATGATTTTTTTACTGTATAGTTTTTCTTTTAATATTTCACCCAAAAGATGTTAGAAACTTAGAGAAACTATTTTCTTACAAATTCCACTTTACTGGAAATTATGTTCCAAGAATTAAAATTCAAAAAGAGTTTCACATATATTTTGAGCAATTCCTTCTTTTCCTAGAGAAGAAAGAAAATGCATATATAATTATTCTGCACACATTTTCTTATGGTCCCACCATGATTGACAAATTGAAAACAATGGTCTTAAGGCAAGAACATTTCAAGGAATGTCTGCTTGGCATCTCCTGGAAGGAAGGAGAGACAACAAAATTGGAGATGTGTGACTGTAGTGAATGACGGAGAAGATAATTACAGCAAGGTACCCAGGGTAACATGAAGGTGAATTGGAATTTTCTCAGAGTCAAAGTGCATTAGTGAAAGACAGTGGAGGGAGATGTTATTTTAGCTGCATATTCTGGTCGTACATGACTTAACAAGTATGAATTTCAAGGGGACAATAAAAAGAAATTATAGTAATCAAGATAGGAAATGATTAAAGGATGGGAGAAAATTTCAGCTGAGAGGGAATGTGAAGATTAAGTACAAATTCTAACAGTCTGCTTGACAAGTTGATGAGCACATTTACAGATGAGAAGGAACAAAAGAATGACTTCCACAGTTTTGTATAAGAGCCAACATTAGGTTTGTATTAGAAAAAAATGGAAATAGAATTAGAGCAGGGAAGTTTTTGAAAGAGAGAAAAGTAATATTTTGCCAAAGTTTCCTTCAGAAGCTTGCCTGAAGATTGACAGCCATTTCTTCTTTCATCTTTAGGTATTTTCTGATGAGTGTCTAATGCTTTTTGTGTCTAACCTTTCTGTTATTGTTGATGGAAATGAGAGGAAAATTCAAGGGGAAGGGAATACATATTATTTTTAATTTTAAGTTGGACTTTTATGAGTTCCTTCCAGATTTTTCCTGTTCCATATCATGACGGTGATGTTGTAAAGGAAAAAGTGTAATCGAGTAGACTCGAATCTTTTATAATTTGTATTTGGGAGAAATAACGAACTGTTGCTTATTTTCTGGCCATATTAACTGTGTCAGCTGTAGCAAGGCACTGGATTTGGGGTCTGAAGATGTAGAGCCAGGTATACTCCTGTTCCTTGACAGACTAGAGTTAAAGCAAGACCTGTAGCTTCTTTCAGCAGAAGAATATGATCAAAAAGTACACATGAGAGGGCTGGCAAAAAATACAATAAGTATTACTGTAGTGCTTCTGGTTTTATTTTATTCTGGAAAACATAGAATTTCTTCATTTTAAGACAGCTCCAGATAGTTTTAAGCAAATGATGAACATAAAGCCTGGTCAATCAGTCTGAGACAAAGTAATAACTCTTATGTAGCTTGTACTCAGGTCAAAGTGATAGCTGACATGTGTGACAGCCTCATTTTGTCAGTGCTTCTACTTTTTTCTTTTCTTTTTGTTCTTGCCCTGGGGCTTCAACTCAAAGCATTATGCTTTACTTTGGTTTTGTTGCTCAAGGCTTGAGGCTCTACCACTTGAGCCACAAGTCCATTCCTGGCTTTTGCTGGTTACTAATTGGAGATAAGCTTCATGGACTTTGCTGTCCCCACTGGCTTCAAAGCACGATCCTCAGATCTCAGCTTCCTGTGTAGCAAGAATTAGAGTCTTGAGCCATCTGTGCCTGGATTGTTTGTCTTCTTAAGGAGAAATCTGATTTTTTTCAATGAAATTTCCTATTCTCATGTGAAAACAATTCTCCATAAACAAACATATGCTGAACAGACTACATCTATGAGCAAATCTAGCCAGTGGCTGTGGTTTGGATGTTCTATTATGTTCAACTAAATTATTGTTACCATCATCATCATTATCATCATCATCACCATCATTATTGCCTGTACTAGGGCTTGAACCCTAGGCCTTATGCTCCTGCACAACTTTTTCACTCAAGGCTATTGTATGTTATACTTAGATGAATATGCTCTTTTTACACTCATGCAATACAACTTTGCCTTTGAAAAAGCTCTTAGGTATTACAAGCTGATTAAAATATATTATAAAAGGAGGACATCAAATCCTGATAATGGTGGTAATTAATTATCTGACTAAGCGGTCTTGTTGACTGAATATAGCTAAGTGTTTGGCATTTAGGCTAAGAAATACTTTAGGCTTTATTGGCTTGTGAATAAATCAGAAACCAATATGAGCTTTACCACTTTTACTAGCTGAAACATTTTGAATCTAAATGTAATTAATGACTTTCTAGTTTCTGAAAGTTATTTTCAAATTTCTGAAGAAATAAATATACTTTTAAATTTTCATCATTACATTGTATAAAATGTATTAGTTTTACACTATAAACATTGAACTAACACCCATGGAAATAATATGGTGAATGTTTAAAGCATTTGTATATAAGCTGCCTCAAAGGATAATTAGATGATTATAATGATACTTTGAGGTAGCTAATTAAAAACATCTATTGCTCCCAAGTCTTAATTATTTGAGTAATGATAACATATTAGCAACCAGGAAACTTCAGGTCCAGCCAATTCTATTGAAGAAGAGAAAAACAAATATGTTAATGACATTTTCTATAAAGACCCAAAGGATGGAAGTAGATTAAATTTTCACTTCTTTCTCTGTATTCTATGTCCAGGCTCTCTTTTGTGTCTATTATAAACCATTTATAAATGTATCAGTCATCTCATCTCACTAGATTTTTTTTCATTTGTTTTATACTTTTTCTTTTGGCTATGAGAGATAATTTTCTAGTTCTCCATCCTTTGTGAATATGTGAAAGAAGCTTTAGTAATTAGACTTTATAGGTTTAACACATATTTCATAACCTTCCATAAAATTTCAGTTTTTCTCAGGGTATAATTAAATTAGTAAGTATCAATGTGGTAATGAAGTCACAAAACAAAGTAATTTAAAGAGGTTATTAATTAAGGGCTTGCCTTGATTTTGGAATTGTAATTAATAGTGATCCCTGTATGTTATGACAATGATCTTTGCTGTCTTCCTTTTCTTTTCTTGTCCTTTAAAAATATTAAATAAAAACAATAGCATTAAACACTTCGCTTTATTACTCTTTTCCTAACTATGAGCGTCTTGTTAAAATATCAACAAATTATGTATGTTTAGTTTTTTAAAGTTCACAAAAGTAAACATTTATCCAACTGTAAATTTAGATGTTTTCTCATTCACATGCAAACATAAAATCTCATTTGAAAAACTTTCAGCATCATTAGAAAAACTAGACACTGTATTCTCTAAAATTTATTTACAGTTAATTAGTTAAGCAAAGTACAATCAAATGCACATTAAACCATCCAGAGAAACACTTAGTTCTACTAAAAACAATTGCTTTCTAATGCACTTAAGACATAACAGTTTATTAAAAACTATTTTAACATACCAATAAATGTTAGCTCTCTCTATATATATGTTCACTAAAAATCACCTATTTAAAGGATGCTGTGGCAACCCTTAAAACAAAAAAGTTTGCATTCAAAATTGTTCAGATTTGTGTTTAAATTTTTTTAAATTGAAGAGATTTCTGAAACATAGCACTATCATTTGCACGTAGCAAATCAGAAGGTATTAGCCACCAGCTTGTTAGACTTGTCCAATAGTGAATTCAAACTTAAGTCAAGATAAACACACACCACAACATAAACTGAATCTATAGCTTACTTTGTGTGTAGTTTTTCAAAGAAATCTCATAACTTACTTCTTCTCTCACTTCTCTTATGTCTTGTATGGCACAAATAGAGAGGGACATCTAGGAGAAAAATCAATCACTGGCCTATGCTTTTATTTAATGTTTGACTTTTGAGTGCCTAAATGTGGTGACTGGCACCTGATATGACCTTTTGAGATCCTTGATGTCATTTTTACCTTCCTCTTGGTCAACCAGTAACTTTTACTTTGTTAAGTCAGTAACAAAATTATGTATGTTTAAAGTGGATGTTTTTCTGTGATCCTTTAAAATCAAACTTGACTATATAAACAATATAAAAACTTACAGTGGAATCTGAGGTCATTTCTTCCTAGTTGAAGAGTAAAAAACCAGCAAGAATTGAATCTTGGAGATGAATGATTGGTAAAACATCTCTTTTTTTTAAAAAAATTATGTTATTTAATTGTAAGGGTAATGTCAGAGGAGTTACAGTTCCTTAAGCAAGGTATTGAGTACATTTTTGTTGAACATTGTTACCCCTTCCCTTGTTTTCTTCCCACCCCCCTCCCCCAAACTCCCTTCCCATCCAGGTTGTAAAGTTTATTTTCCACCCAGTGTCTTGTGAGTATTGCTGTTGCATTGGTTCACCGGTTGTCCTTGTTTCACCATTTTGTTACTCCCCTTCTTTTCCCTAAATCAGATAAACATATGCAAGATACAGGGTACTGGAATCAAAAACAGAGAGAAGTATTCCCAAGGTTGAATCCTAAATAGAGTTTAATAGGAGGAGGAGGAAGAGGAGGAGGAGTAGAAGGAGGAGGAGGAAGAAGAAGAAAAAGAGGAAAAAGAGGAAGAAGAGGAAGAAGAAAAACAGCTAGGTGCTGATGGCTCATGTGTGTTAGGAGGCTGAGATCTGAGGGTCATAATTTGAAGCCAGCCTGGGCAAGAAAGTGTGTCAAATTCTTAACTCCAATTAACCACCAAAGGTGAGTTGTGTGATTCAAGGTAGCATAGTACCAGCCTTGGTTGAGAAAGCTAAGGACTCTGAATTTAAGTCCCAGTTTCAGTGTAAACAAAAAAGTAATGATGTGTTTTATTGAAAAAAGAGTTTCAGAATTGTCGATGGTAGTTGCTGATCTTTTTCTACTTGTTGATTATTTACTTGGTATTCTTATCTATAACCCTAGAGTAACAACTAAGGAAAAATAATTTCTCAATGAGGTTTGTTTGTTATTTCTTTTATTCTGTTCTATTTTACTGTTCCCTTGCATGAGAAATGAAGCTCTGTTCTAAACTGTATTCTCCCTTTAACAGTCTCAAGTCAGAACCATTCATTGGGTCACTGTACATCAAAAGGAACACAACTGCAGTTTGAGATGCTGATTTAGGAAACTAATAGCAGGGCTATAAAACTGTCTAGCAAGCCTAGACTTTTGTGGGTTTTGAGCTGAGTTAAGGTAGACTTGCATAAAGAACACTTTTGCAAAAAGAAAAGAAATATTCTTTTGTTTCCTCTGGGTGAATAGGGAATAGATGGGGTTAAGGCAGGCAAGTTTTACTGTTCCAGGATATATGTTATGAAACTCCCTCTGTCTTTACAAGTAGTAAAATAGAGTTTTTAAATCTCGATTGTGTAAAATGGTATGTGAGGTAGTGTTAATATAGTCTGGTGTGTCTTTAAGGAAATAGATTTGGGGCCATTAGGCTGTAGGAAGATGTAACACTAACACCATGTACTATAACATGTTGATTTGCATGTACTTGGGTTTGTACCTGAACCAAGGTCATCTTCTTAGAGTGATTGTTCCTCTGCAGCAGACATAGAGACTTCTTGCCACTTTCACCCATATTGTTATATAACAACACTTAATGCGGGAAGGACACAAATGAATTTGCCCTAACTAGTCTGATTCCTGATGTGATTCAAATAAGGCCTCCTTCATTAACAGCGTTGGTCTGTTCCCAGGAGCTCCTCTGTGGAACTCAGGATAGAATTATATTCTGCAGCAACTGCAGTAGAGACCAGAGGGAAAATAAAATAGCAAGGCTCACAGTTTCTGATTTGATCTTTTTGTCAGAAAGCATGTATACTTCCTATTATTTTGATATTGTTAATGTTATTTACTATTTTGAACTAAAATGGTTAGTTTATGAAATTTCATTGTAAATCAAAAGAAAGGCGTAAAGATGGAAGGAGAGAGAAGAAACATACATTTGGCTAGCAGGAGAGATCTTGGCCTACAATGTCCCATAACATTCAACAGGATTGATTTCTCTTAGGAGCTGGAAAAAATGACTCTGTAATATTCCCTATAGAGAAGTTCTAAAAGCAACAATTGCCTAATACCACACACACACACACACACACACACACACACACAGATATAGTCAATCAAGTAAATCAAATCCATTTGATATATACCATGTTCTGAATGTGTTCTAAATCTCCTGTGTTGAAACCTGATTGTCAGTGTATTGAGAGGTGGTATCTTTAGGAGCTGATGGAGTCATAAGGCTGGAGCCCTTATGAGGGAGATTCATGACCTTATAAACGAGGATGAAAGCAATGGCCTATGCCTTTTATTTTTCTTCTATTGCCTTCTGCCATGTGGGGTCACAGGAACAAGGTCCTTACATAAGTTAAATGCCTCCCAGCCTTTACAAGTGTGAGGGAAAACAAAAACATTTGATGTTTTTTTTAAACAATAAATCACCTACTAACTATACTTTGTGATAGCTATATAGTAGTTATACTATAGTTGTAGTTATAAAGAAGTGTAATAGATGAGATATATTTATGAAAATAATTTATTGTTGTGTAATTGCATCTTCCATTTCATTCTACCCTCAACAATTATGTTAGTAAGATTTTTTTGGTGGAAATGTAGATTGAATATATCAGTTTTGTAGCTTTGGTATTTGTCATTATTTTGAATATCTGTTTTATTCATAATTTGTAATGTTCTTGTATAACAAAAGTAATTCTAATGATGGCTGAGTTTAACAAAAAAAAATCTTTAACTTCATCTTAAAACATCCACTGATCTATTTCATTCAATGGCAATAGTCAATGTTAAAAGAACGTAAAACGAACATGCACACAATTGCACAATTTTCATAAAGGTGTTTTTCATTATTGGTGGGTAGTGCATTTAACAGTTAAATACATCTAAATAATGTATAGATGACTACACTACTACAGCATTCGTAACTAGATAACCAATTGAACTAAGATCAGCTAACAACTGTCTAATATTTAAAATACAGCTCTGCTGGTCACAATGGACATATATTAAGGCCAAATCTTCATTTCCAGATGTTTCTTTCAGCTGGATTAAGCCTCCAATTCCAGGGCAAGCCCAAGTTTGTGGCCTCCAGAGCAGATAGTGTAAGTTTCATACTAGGCCTCAGAGTGTGAGTTTAGCACACTCCAATTAAACTAGAGTTGTTAACCTTTGCCAAAATGGAAGCAGTGGGATCCAACCGATATTTAGCTGCAGTGCCAAAAGGAGTGCAGTTTGTACCTGATGTCCAAGCAAGGTTTACTGCAGTATCAAGATCTTCACAAACTTTCTGATAAATGGATCCTCCAAGTCCTATCCCATCGTGACATCAGTGTGTAGCTGGAAATCCCCAGTCCTGTAGCCCACTGCAAAATTATTCCTTGTCATCTTTGACTTGGCACTGTCAAAGGTCATCTGGTACCCAGTAAGCCAGCCTTCATAACCAACGACAGCTGAACCATAGATTGCAGGTCCAGCAAAATCAAAGTCAACATCACAACCAAGATTTGTACATTCCCTCTTGTAAGAGGACTTGATTTGACCACTTTTTCTTTGCAGTATTTGCTGAGAAGGTAGTATAAAATGTCAGTTTCAAACCTTGACAAATCTAGGCTTCAATGGAGATTTCTGTTCCCAAAGTGTGATCAGTGTTCCATTTTTCTGTGAAAGTCAGACCACATTCACACCATCTATATTTGGTCTCCAAAGTCCTGGTAACTTTACCAGTCCTGGTAACTCAACCAGGTGTTGAGAATTCCACACCACTTCATGACTTTGTTTTTACATCCAGTTTCACCAATCCAAAGCCAAATCTTTTGATCTTCGCGAAGATCAGCGTACGATGGAGGGATACACATTGGCCACACGGAGGGCTGTAGGTAGGCCGCCATGGTGAGACCCCGGGGAGAGGTGGTCTGGTAGTTTCCTGAGGTCGCCACTGCACACTCTTGGCTCACAGCGGAGGCTGCTCAGCTAAATCGGATTTGTCATTTCTGTAAAAGTATTTTCTTTAATTAATGTGAAAAAACAACGAGAGAATCAAACCCGGGGAAATGTGGTGCCACGGAGGCTTGGTTTACATATAAGGCCTTAGCAGGCAAACACGTTGTAAATGCAAATACTGCTCTACTGGAGGGTTCTATGCTACTTGTCCTGGGTCACTACTGACTTAGGGAAAATGAGTAGGTCTAGTTAGCATTTTAAATAGTTTTCAAGAAGACGGTTTTCTCAAAAAATTTTATCTGAAGATTTTTGTCCTGATAATTCCTATTTTGTAGTTAACAATTAATATCTTATATGATTTTCTGTTTTATTGCCTTTTTTGTTTGGCATCAAAACGTCTTCAAGTGTGAGAATTTGGCTTTCAACTGCTTGGCTTTCTTTCATTATTTCTGTCACACGGGGGTCCTCAGAATTCTTCTGTTCCATAAATAGCTAATTGGAAATCTTTGTCCCTGCATAAACTCTTCCACATTCTTTGGTTTTGTTTTGTACAAATCTTTTATGCTACTGTTACTCTTTTCTTTTTGTAGGACTGGGGTTTGAACTCAGGGTCACATGTGTGGTGGTTAGGTGCTCTACCACTTGAGCCATGCTCCCCCACTCCTACTATTATCTTTGCTTTAACTTTTTTTATTGTCAAGGTGATGTATGGAGGGGTTACAGTTACATAAGTAAGGTCTATTTGCTTAAAAATTAGTTAGGTGCCTTTGTGGCAGATATTTAGAATGGAAAGACGAAATAGAATTAAATGAGATTTTATCATTATTTTTTCCTTTTGATTTTTTGTAAATTAAGTTTTTGTTGTGGCAAAAACACAGAGTGCTATTACTTCCAAATGTATAGATATCTTAAAGCTATGCAATTTATAGTCTATAAAAGAATTAAGCATGGTATTTCATTTTTCCATATTATTTAGCATCTGGTTTTTGGTAAAGATGATTTTATTTTCATGAGAATATAGAATCATT